ACATGCATGCATCCAGGATTCGATATGAGCTATAGTCTAAACTCCTAGTATCCCCCATAATAACCCCTATAGTAGTCCCCTCTATAATCCCCTATATAAGCCCCCATTAAGGAGTTTAGACTATAGCTCATATGATATTGTCTGCCGGTGGATCAAGGAGGCCATTCTGCTGGGCCACAGGTCCATAAAAGACATCTTGGTTCAGTACCATCATGGAGCTTGGGAAGCAGACCATGACCATGAGCAGAAGTGTTGGGGCTGCTTACTGAAGATTATTGGGAAGATGTTGTTCATCAAGGCCTGCGCTGATACGAAATAGTCACACGTACGAAGCTCTTGCACCCTCCCTGGTCTGACAGAAAGCCGGAAACAGGAGGCCACGCATTCTCAACCTGAAGCCCTCCATCAAAACCGTGGAACTCCCAAATTGCTCAAGCCCCAACCCAAGTCCGAAGCCTCAAAACCTTGAACTCAAGACCCCTGAGCCGGCGCACTTGCGAGAGGGCCAGCGTCAGCGCTCGCTCGATGCGGTCACCGAGCTCCGGCTGAACCTGTGAGATGCAAAGGTGTCATCCCACTGTTTCTGTTATCCTTATACCTGAGCCCCTGAACGGTCTAGCGGTGACAACGGGGTGTGGGGGACTGGGAGAATACGAGGAACGAAGATCACAATCCGGAGAGCGGGTCACTCCACATGCATCGCCTGCGCTTCGCTCGGAGGCGTGAACCCGTCAGAAAAAAAAGCGCAAGCGCAAACCAATACTGGCCACAGGCCATCAGGAACTGGAAACCCCTAATGAGGACTCCAACTCAGTTAGCGCGCGGTCCGCACTGTCATGGCAGATGGTGATCCGACAACTACTCTGCAAACTTGAAATACCCACAGGCTTGCTGCCTTGTGCAGGAGATCAATCTGAAAACACTGAGGCTTGGCAACAGCCCTGGCTTCAAACAGTGCGGTGAATTCTCCTCCTTAGGAACAAAGGCAAATAAAAGCAGCGAATCAATCAAAGTGCATGGATGGTGGGAAATGCCTGACATGCGCAGGCGTCTTCCGACTCTGAGATAACGATCTGAATATACTTACTCTGGCCTCATAGTCCTCAGTGGTCCGCTCGGGCCTGGGTGAACAGACTGCACATCAGCTCAGGCTTGAAGGAGAAGATTGTACCAAAAGGGTGCCTGCCGCCAAAATGAAGATCCTTCTGCTCGAACGGGGCCAGGCTTGAAGTGTCGCATTTTGTTGGCACGTGAAACCTGATCTCTAAAACACTAGGGTGATCTTCAAGGCAGCGGCAGATCCAGGTCGGTGAAGACAATGTTGTCGAACATGTACCTGTGAGTTGTCGAGTACATCTGCAGCAGCCGAGTCGAGTGTTCCGAAGCCGGGCAGCTAACGTAAGGACCTAGGCTTTCACGAGAATGAAGCCTAGGGACCAGTACTACACTGCGCTGATTTAAAAAATCCCAAAATCCAGAGACCCCACAAGCAAATGCACCGAGCCTAAAGAGCTTAGCGCACCAGCTACAACAGGGAATCAAGCAGTTGACATACGTGAGAAGACTCCCTCAGACCTCTCAGAACAATGTCAGCTTGGGATAGCTTGAGCACATACAAGCTCAGGCAGAAGATATGCGATCAGTGAGAGTTCCAAATGTGAGTGGTGCCGCGAAGAAGCTGCCCCCTGACGAATCGCGTTGAATTTAACTGCTGATTAATATGTTCTCAGCATTCAAGCTCCGAAACGCTCTTTCTGCCAGTACAGCAGCCAGATGACTGAACACTATATAGTTTTGTTCACCTCTGAGGAATTTGCTTTTCGAGTCTAATCGTCTGAATCCAAGCTCAAAACCTCACAGGCCTCACAGGACACCAAGCCTTCTAGCCCAAATCCACTGAATTCACCGCAGTCGCTGCAGAACAAGCGCTGCTGCAGCACCCCGAAGCAGAAGCACCAAAACAAACACCTCTAAACCAGGCCTGGGGTTGGAGTCGCCCATCGTACGGTTCAACCGCGCGAACTCGGACGTCGGCCTACACAAAGAAGGACAAGGGAGGTGTGTGTGTGTGTGCCACCATGACATAATCTGCTGCGGAGCAGGAACATGGGCGATAGCGCAGGTGTGTGATGAACGTCAGCCGCAGGACCCGTTCCCGAACCCACCCCGAGCCAGCCAGCGCCAATAAGCCTCATGAGCGCCAGCTCCCAACATCAACAACATCAGCTCCCCCAGTGCAAATGAAAGGGAGCCTCATGAGCATCTGCCGCACTTTGCTCAGCGCATCCCACGCCTGTGCACAAACATGCCCAAGAGGCAGGAATCATGACCCTGCCTGGCAGCATCATGAGCATCAGCTGCATGCCCTTTCCCCACGCGTGCCCGAGGCAGCCAGCATCATGAGCATCAGCTGCATGCCCTTTCCCTGGAGACGTGCCTGCGAGGCAGCCATCATCATGAGCATCAGCTGCATGCCCTTTCCCTAGATGTGCCCGAGGCAGCCAGCATCATGAGCATCAGCTGCATGCCCTTTCCCCACGCGTGCCCGAGGCAGCCAGCATCATGAGTTTCAGCTGCATGCCCTTCCCCTAGACGTGCCCGAGGCAGCCAGCATCAGGAGCATCAGCTGCATGCCCTTCCCAAGAGTTGGTGGAACTAACGGCAACTCCAGCTACACTACATCGGAGGTTTTAGTCAGCATGTTGACTTAAGATCAATCACATTGGATCCTGAGCGACAAAGCAATGACTGTCGGAACACTTTGATGTCAGCAAACCGCTCCTAACCTACTTCCGATAATGTCACACAGAGTTGGTTCGGTCTGCCTCGGGAGCCCGAGGACGGAGATCGGTCTCTTTGGCCGGTTCTCCTGAAAACAGCTCTGCAGCAAGCTGGATGCTGCAGGCTCAAGGGGCGGGACGCTAGGGTTTAGGGTTTAGGTTCAGACCTAAAATGCAGAATGGCTCGGTGCACTTTGGCAATCCCTCTGGCTTGAGAATCCAGAACACCCTGTAACAACTCATTCACCTGGCAGCACTGTCACAAGTTCCATGATCGGGGATTGACAGCCTGCCCAATGGCCAAAAAGGCCTCAAAGGTGTGGAAACCTGCTCTGGGAACTGAGGAGTCAAGCCCCTGACCCAGATCCTCAACTCGCTCAGAAACATCTCACCGCTACTCCAATCTTGAAGTGACGCTCGCTGCCGCCTTTGATGCCCTGCATGTCCCCAGGACAAAGCCTGAACCGATGAACCACAACTTCCCTCTCACCCCCGGACAGTAACAAAGGGAAGGATACTGGCCCACCTTGTCCAAGGTCACCGGCTGAATCTGGGCTCAGCACCAGTGCTACAGGTTTATTGTTGAAGGACCAGGGTTTTGGGATGACACAGCTGCCGACACATCTCTAGAAAAAACATTTCGTCCGGCACCAGGCGAACTTCGAAGTAAGTCCCTGCAAAGCTTGGGAAGAGGATTGAATTGCGCTACTTGAAGAATGTCACTGTCAAAAACCCGGGACGTATGGCATGCCTGTCATGGTTGTACCCTGATCTCCGCTGTTACCCCACACGAAGCACCTTTTGAAATGCACTGACGCAGCTGTTACATCAAGCAGCCAAATACTAGTTTCCACGTCATTTTCCATTCATTTTCCCATTTGAGTCTCCGTTACATTAACCTATCATGGTTTACCAGTATTATTGGTGTCTGTATGATATATAACCCTATATAACACCTATATAACCCTATATAGCCCCTACCATTATCCCTACATTACCCCTATATAACCCCATTTTTGGATTCCTTTGGGAATAAAGCTGGGGGCTATCCTTGAAATTGGCCCCGACGCAAGTCAAAACGCCTGGACCTTAAGGCCCAGGCCCTCCACTCGTCCTCCTCAGCATCCCACACGGCACGCTCCTGGGTGTTCTGGATCTCCTGGAAGAATGGCAATAGTAATGAAAATACTAATGGTAATACTAATAGTAATACTGATAATAATGGATAATAGTAATAATAGCAGTAATAATCACAAAAGAAATAATAGCAGATAAGTAAAGTACAACCTGCATTTTTTGCAACGATGGCTTCTCACAGCGACAACGCCCAAGGGTTCACACCACCGAGTTTATGGACCGAACGGCTCCTTCATTGGCACGAAGGACTCCATGATCAAAGCCTGTGGAAGACCAGGCTTTGCATGACATGTGGCTCGTTATGAAGCACTCTTCAAGTTCCGCTAGTTGGCAATCGGAAAGTAAAACCAACTGACCGGCTTCGATGACCTGTGGGCTTCCCTGCTGGGCCCTTTGAACTTTGGACCCAGACAACTTTATAAACGATGCCACCGTCATCAAATCGTTTTCCAAAGTCCTCCTCTACCTCTGTAAGCGTCCAAGCTCCAAATCATGCTGCAATGTGAGTTCAAAAAGGCGCCTTGAGTTTCAGCGTCTGCCGAAGGTCTCGGATCATGGAAAGCATGTCCTGCAGAGGTCATGCGTGACACTGCAAGCTTCTCCAATGCTTATAGCCCCATTTTCCATGTCATGTTCCAGTTTCTCTTCCATTTGATTCTCCATTTCTGGAGTAATGTCTCTAAACCTTATTAGCCCCCTGCGGCCAGCGCCCCCTGCATCGACGGCATAGCAGTGCAGGGTGCTATGGAAGCATTAGGGAAAGGAGCAGGCACAGCCTCATACGAGCTGTAGACTAAACTCCATAAAGGGACTTATATAGGGGATTATGTAGGGGATTACAAGCGGGGTTATTCAGGGGGATACTAGGAATTTAGACTACAGCTCAAAAGGCCCAGGAACAAAGCGCCGAATCTTTAACTGAGCCACCTGCAGGGCCAAAGCTCAACAGCTTGTTACATGCATTTGAAGGAATGGAAAAAAATGGAAACTACTATAATGGAATAGAGAGGGACTGCTATAAGCTATAAGGATCCATTCCTTCATTCCTAGCTAACCAAAGGGCCAGTTTACAAGTAGCACATCTCAAGCTGGAGCTGCCCTTTGGATGTTGTCCTCCCGTTCCTGCTGGTTGAAATGCTGGAGGTCCACCATCTCCTGCTGCGCTTTCTGGTACCTGAGCTTACTGGGGGTTGGTTGGGTTGAGGGTTTGTGCTTCATACAGGGATTATGTTCCCTTATTCCCTACTAACCCCCAGCAAGCTGAGTGAAAGCGCAGGGGACCACAGCGGAACAGTTTGGTTTCGACAATTGATAATGTCAACCATCATATAGCCAGTAGGACCATCAATACATCGCAAGACCATGGCAATTTGAGTCAGGCGGCTTGTCCCACAGCTTCTGCAGCTTGGTGGTCAACTTTGCCACCTCGCCACTGCGCTTGGAGTAGGAATCCCTCTTCGTTCGCGAGAGTACGAACATCCGCTGGGAAAATCATCCGAAAGGCCGTTCTTACACTGTAGTCCTCTTAGACCTATAATTAATAAGAATACTATATTGAATCGTCCCTTGGGGTTACACTCATTTCTGAGGAGACCACAGCACAAGGATTCCCAGAGAAGCGAACCATATGCTGAGACACCCCCACCTGCTCCTCTTGCGAGGCGCAGCGTTCCTCCAAAAGGAGGTTCTCCTGTCTCTGCTGCTCCTGAGAGGTTTTATACTGGAATTCTCTGTTGAAAATCTGCAATCACAAGCAATGATATCACTTCTTTTCTTTAGAGATAACCAAAGCAGCGATAAGCGAAATTGGAGAACCGCAAGCATCTGGCGAGCTCGGTGCATAATCTATAGGATTGAAGGCTTTGATTAAGACTGCAGAGGCTCTGTAAGCTTCCCATCAAATGCTACTCAAAATGCAAGGCAACACTATAATTTTGGACCGCAGAAGGCTGGACCAGGCAGCAGCAGTGGACCTTCATCACTACCAACCAATAATTAAGAATCACATGGAACATGAAGTGGAAACTGGAAGATTATGGGGTGCTCGTTTTTTAAATCCTCTGAGGTAGGAGCATTGCTGTCCAAATCTCCGGTAATTGCAATGCTGTACTGAGTACTGTTCCGTGATCTGAAACAGATTTTGTTGCATCAAGTGCTGATGAGCTGGGCAAGAAAACATTCCCGCGGACAAGCAATAAGACTGATATATGATATAACGGTATCACCAGAGTTCCATTGCAAATTGCACGAACTTGTCATAGGCTATCTGCCTATAATCCTCATGCTACTCCCAAGTGCACTGCATATACCCTGACACAACCCCAATAGTCACCGCAAACAAGGACCCTACGACCCTACACTCTGCAAATTTTCCCTGCGCCCTTCAACACAAGCACTTGTTGAAGGGTGACTGCCGATTTCGGGCTTCCTTGCCTCCTGTTGCCGGAGCTCATGCTCCCTTTCCTGGCACGCAGTTCTACGGCTGAGGGTTCAGGCGCTTAGGACTTGGGGCTGGCTCTGAGTTTGGGGGCTGGGGTTTAAGATTTGACGTTTACGCTTTGCGGTTTAGATTAAATTGGGGGTTTGCAGGATTTGGGGGTCCAAGAGTTTAGCGCTCATAAATTTTGGAGCAGGTGTACCAAAGCATGCAAGCTATGGAGGGATGCCGTGGACTCTGCCAGTCATTACAGCACTCTCCTAGGTACCAATCCCCTTGTCCTGGGCTACAATGATGATACTAGCTGCTTTGGGGGATGACTGCGCTCGCTTGATGTACATGGCTGGAATCAACAAGGGCAATGTCTGTAAGGATCCCAGGTGGGGCTTGTTTGGGCATGCGCGTGATCCTGGCCTCCGCATAAACTGCACCTCTCACAGTGGAACATACTGCGCCCCTGCTATCACGGGACCCGCGCCCGCAATATCCTTGGACTAGCGCTTAGCTTTGATTCAGCGAAGGCTGGGAGGAGCCATGTCACTATGAAGGCTCTTGCACCCCACCAACAACAAGCTTCTCAGAGTAGTGGGCGCCTGTAAGGACTGCAAATTTACAAAGATATGGCTCAGACAGTGTGAAAGGACCCCTATACGCCTTATAGGGAACAGAGCAACTAGGAAAACCTAAAGTAGCCGTGCTTGAGTTCGGAGGGTGTGCTCGAACATTGTGGCAGCATAGATCGTTTATCCAAGCAGCCCCCTTGCATCAAACCTTGCAAGCAGAAGGTGCTCATGTCATTTTGCGGCCAAGCGCTGCGAGTTGCAAGCTCCCGTCACCCTGCGATGTAAGGGTGAGCCATGGCCGCAAGTGCAGTCACGCGGTCCTCCTCGCGTTTCTCCAACATGTTGCGGGTGGACTCAACGCATGCAGCTCCATGAACTTTCGGGATAAATACCTTCATCACCCGCGTTTTGTTTTCGTTGTCGAATGGATACCTGCCTTTGAGCAAGGTAAACATAACTACGCCAAGAGCGAAGACGTCTGCAGATGTGCCATAGTCTGCATCGTAGATCTGGGGGGACCAGAAAAATTTCGTCCCGACCTGCTCTGTGAAGCGATGCGCCGGCTCAGCTGCGCACGCCGTGCCAAAGTCTGCCAGAACGACTTTGCACTGTTTGTCCAACAGGTTGCGGCGGTCAATAAGAAAATTCTCACATTTCACATCACGGTGCATCACATTCCTGTCATGAAGATAGTGAATGGAAGCTACCATTTGGAGCGCGATGTGCGCCACATTCATGGGCTTTCCGTCGGGGTCCTGAACTACCTTGTCAAGGTCACTGACATACTTGTCCATCACGATATACATGGTTGGGCCTTGTTGGTAGACGCTCCGAAGTTTCACAATGTTTGGGTGGTCTGTCTTCTGCAGCATGTCAATCTCCACAAACGTCGACCTCCGTGACTTTCGCAGCATTTTGACCACGCATTCCTCGTCCATGTCACGATGCTTGCATACATAGACTTGGCCAAAAGAGCCTTCACCCAGGATGCAGCCTTCTACCACCTTGTACCCACTCCGGGACCAAGTATCGGCAAGCTGGTATGCAGTCCATGCGTGATGGCAAAGCCTCACCGCGACGCCAAGACCACATACACCCAAAGCACCCTCAGCAAAATCGGCCCAGTCAATCAAGTCCATTGCGGCAGCCAAGAGTGAGGGCTTTACTGGGGGCTTCGGGTACGATGCATAGTGGCAACAGTGCCAAACATACATCTCATCTTGCGCTTTGGCGCTCTGTTCTTCCAAATGCCTAGGTTGCTATGGTGCTAACTCGAGGATACAGCAGGGGGAAAGATCGCTCTAGCTGTGAATCACTTATTCTTTGGAGCTTTGCAACACAAGCTGTTCCTTGGACACGGAAGGCGTCGGTACGTCATGTCATGATGTTTGCAATGGCCATGCAAGTGCAGCAATGGCGCTTTGACACCATGTCATGAATATCCTCTGCTGGTCCATCCCTACATAATCCATGCAATCAGCAGATCCTCCTAAAAATTATATCGCGACGCACGGATTCATCCCTCACTCCCTGACGGACTAATGGCTCGTCCATATCTCAACAGCCCCTCAAATCCAGCAACGGCAGGCTCACTTCCCGCCTGCTGCTTCCGCAGGCGCTTCTCATGCCTCACATACCAAAAGAATGCTGGGCAAAATGGCCAAGAGAAACATGTGTTTGCATGCATCGAAAGGAGGGTGGCCACCCTTTCTGTTTGGTAGAGGGGCCTGACTTGCCATGATGATACAATGACTGACACCCTGGAGCTGGAGGATTCCGATCCTGTCTCACCTGCCCGTGACCGGGAGGAGGCACATGAGTACATTGGCATTCTGACCGAGCTCGTCTCTGACACTACGGAAGGATGGGAAGTCTTTGTCTTTCTAGTGCTTACTTGGGAATGGACAAGACCATGGAAACAGCATTTGCTATGTAGAGTTTAGCATATCATTGCCTGGGTTCTGAGAAGGTGTCTTCATTCCCCACTAAGCACCGAGTGGATGATTGAGGCACCTAAGGAAATGAAGACCCACGGTCGGCAAACGACTTTGATAGTTCTTCACGCCATCAAGAGCTAAGACAAGAGCCTCTTCAATCTGTACCTCTGGCCTTTCAGCCTGAAATTCTGCATCCAAAAAGCCTTTGAGCCTTTGAGTATCACAGACCCTCCCATTGCGGGGCGCACTTCTTCAGCTCCTGCTCTTGCTGGATGGCTTGCTCCATGATCTGCCGGTAGCAGGGCTCAGAGCGTTGGGGATGACAGGCTCAGGGTACAAGGTGCAGTGTTTGGCGCCTTGGGTTAAGGCCTTGGCGCTATTGACTGAAGTTTGGAAGGTAGAAACGACAAAGCAAACACAAAAGCCTACGGGTGCTCGGCGTCAAGGAGATTTCAACAGTCAGCTTCCATGAACCGGCTGAGTGGGAACGTGACATGACAGCCACGCTGCTGATTTTGGAGCAGACTCAAAGAACTCCGAGAGCATCTGCAAGAGGTATGCTTCCCTGGGGCAAGGTAAGAAAATCTACATAAGATCGGCTGCTATCAAGACAACCTCATGCACCCGATAAAGTCATCCCAACTACATCTCTGGAGACCAGATCCAAAAACAATGATGGCCTGCTTTCCCTGGACCATCTTGTGCTCCATGTGCTGCAGCTTCGCCTATGGCTAGCCAGATGGGGATTACGCCTTCTAGTCTTTGGTGTCAGGGTTGACTACTTCACGTGGCTTGCCCATGGTTGTTGAGGATCTGAGGATTTCCAGTTCAAGCCTAAGGCAGCTTACGGTTCAGGCTTCAATTCCTTAGGCCAGGCGCTCGGTGTTCTTGAGATTCTGAGCCGGCGGTGAAAGGGCATCGCCGTGCTTGCAGCTGCTCTGGGAACCCTAGCGGAAGCCTCAGATTGTCCGGGCTCGCTTCGATTTTAAGACACAGGAATACGGGATTGCAGGGCAAAAGCCCACAGCTCCGTCTGAGGCCATTTGGGCATGGGCACGGGGTAGTAAAAGAGACCCCGGATTTGCACCTTGGAATTTGATTCGGACTCTTGCATTGGAAGTGGCTCCTAGTGTACCTCTCCACTGTTGAGACTGAGGCCTTTCGAATTCTGTCCAACTACTCAATCAAGTCATTGAGGCTACATTCTGATGCAACAGCTTTCATCGAAGGAAACATCACTCTCATCGCCCTTCTGTTCCAGTCATGGAAGCGACAGCACAACCAAAGATAGCCAGTGCGTGCTGGTGCAGATGCCGTGCCCCCATGTGCCTGGAGCTCCACCTTGCGCTGCTCTTCCTGACGCAGCGCTGCAAGCAAGTAGCAATCCACCGGACAGAAAGGTGATCACCTGGCTCCTAGCTCAGTACGCATGAAATCTTACCAAGCAGGCGACAGCAAAGCATCCCTAGTAAAGGACCTCCGATTCACCACCTTGATTGTGAACCACCCAGCCTGGAATGCAGCGTTCTCTTGCTCGTCAATCTGCGCCAGGAGGCGCAACCTGACTACCATCAGAAGTGTGTGCTGGAGAGGCCTTCCTACCTGCAGACGATCTAGCGTCGCTCCACCTGTCGTCAGCCTGATGCACTCTGAGTTTGATCTGCTTATGTAGCCTGAAGGCACAAGAAACGAACACCATTTGTAGCAACAAGCCACATGCACCTTCTGTAGCTCGAATCGGAAGTATCCGAGAGGGAGCCTATGCACATGGACATAGCAAGCCTGACAGAAAGGGCCAGCACCTCATTCGACCGAAATCCCACTGAGAATCTGCAAGAGATGGTCTCCGATGAATTTCGAACCGAGCACTTTAGGGCCTAGACGTGCAGGATACTTTGATGGGGTCTAAGTACTCTGCCGGCACTTACGGGCAATGGCAATGTAGTTTGCTCCTCAAAGTCAGACTGCAGCAACCTGAAGATGAAAAAGATGAGCAGCAACCTTGACGAAAGTGTTCGCTCTCCTGGAACTTGAAGATCACTGACCGAAATGTGCATCGGCCAGATCAATCCCCCTCGTTAGCTAAGATTCAAGTTGCAGGCCCTGACCCATGATCTCCAACCGGACACGAGGCGGCGACCGCTCTGATTCCGCCAGATCCCTCTGCGCTTCCACCTGCTAGTGAGAACAGAAAAAAGAATTTGGGTGTTTGGATGCAGCAGAGGATGTCGTGGGATTTTCGGCCTTAAGGGAAACTCCGGGTTTGAGGCTTCAGGGTTCCATAGCTAAGGTCACTGAGGGTGTCAGCCTAGGCTGCAAGCACTCTAGGTATTGCGGGTTCGGGCCCGTGGATCCAAGTTCATGGCATCCTCCAAAACTAACTTTGGTGTCGAAGATGTCTTAAAAATTCGGTAAGATTGAGGAAGCCTGCAAAAATTGTCATGCAAGTCTTCTAAGGTCACCGCTTGTGTATGATTGCATGGAGGCCTACATGCGCTGAAGCCCGTCAAAACAAAGTAGCATCAAAGGTTCCTTCCTGGAGCGGGGGAGTGAAAAGTGTCACATGCCGACATATGCCAAAACCCCGCCTACGGCTGCGACCTGCGGCCAAACGCCTCAAACTGCGCCTGCTGCATCGACCGCACCCTGTACTCACTCCTGAGACGGCCAGTCCTGTCCCACAAGGCCTCACGACGCTTGGCCTCAGCCTTGAGTCTGGCCTTGGATTCCAGATGTCAAGTTTGTGTGGTGACGTTCAGGATAAAAGCTTCAACGATTGGTAGCTGCCACCTGTCTCCAACATACCCCGCTCCTCATCGTTAGTTCTGCCCTGTGCAGGCATTCACGTAGTTTCGTGGCCTTTCAAGGTTGGCTTTGAAGTCCCGTTGAAGTAAGCTATCAATCACTTGCTCTTCATGCTTTAGCCTTTAGGGCCTTCAAGTTTGGATATGCAGGAAATTCATGGCCCAATGCCTGATGCAAGTGGTATCAACCAGCCGTTTCCTTACTGGTGTCGATTTATGAGGATGCCAACGTGCGCGCACAGCGGCTTAAATTTTTGCAGGTCGAAGATTGACAGGCTAAACCCTGGAAGCCTATGAGTCAATGAGGCCGTGGCCTCTTCGTTCTGCTGCCGGAGCTGCGCCTGCAAAGACATTAGAAGGATATGTCCCGCAATGTTGAAAGATGTAGTAAAGGCCTAGGAAGCATATCACTTCACCAATGGGACGTAAACTTCTTTTAGGAAAGGCATCTGGACTGGAACCTTGATCCAAGAGACTCTGTGATAGACCTTGAAACTGCATAAACTGCTAAAGCAGCTCAATCTTGCTTGGAAATCCATGTTTGTCAACTTTCCATCTTCATCCCTACCACCCAGCTGACGTGAACCCGACTTGCAAGGAAAGTTACTATGCACGAAGCCCATGCTGCCAGCTCTACTGCTCACTAACAACAACGACGACGACGACGACGACGACGACGACGACCGACGACGACGAGGACGAGGACGACGACGACGACGACGACGACAACGACCACCACCACCACCACCACCACAACCACAACCACAACCACGACAACAACAGCGACAACGAAAACAAAAACAAACACGCCGCCGACGACGACGACGACTACTACTACTGCTGCTACTGCTACTGCCTACTTGGATGAGCCGGGGGGTTGCTAAATGTTAGTTGAGATAGAAGTGC